CTTTTTTTGGAGACCCTAGGAATCTAATTTTGAGGCCCAAAAAGCCAGACACACATATGTCAAGAGCCAACAGCAGCCGCAAGCAGCTAAAGCACTCGAAAGAGGCTATTTCCTCATCGGATTGAAGCAATCTTGCTCTGATCATCAACGAGAAGTAAGCTTGACAAGAGCATCGAGCGAGGCATCTCATTATCACATCGAACCCATGTTAAACAAAGGAGAAACTAAATTAATCTTGACTACTAGGACTTGTTGGCCTTCTTGTTTTGATGATGATTTACAAACAATTTACTACTAATGTTGTTTGTCTAGTGCTTGTATTATCTATTCATTGTAGACAAACAACGTAGTTAGAGGTTGGATGGATTGCGCTTCAACGATGATATCCAAAGGAAGTTGGCGGAATGTCGGGTTGAAGCCTATACAATTCAAGTTAAAGATCAAGTTCAAGCTTCATCCGCACGTGTACCAAGTTGAGCTACAATGAAGATCAAGATCAAGCTTGGGTAATGTAGTTTAGGTTTTATATTATGTGTGTTAAGTACCTTAAGCTCAATATCTATACACACACATTTATTGGTTTCTTCGTATATATATATAGTTATATATATATACACAAGTTTTGGTTTCTATGCATATATATAGTTATATATACATACATGTGTTTTGAGTTTTTATGATTATATATATGAAATTGTGTTTTTGAAAACATTGCATAGAATATGCAATTTTGTGACAATATTGTATTCTTAGTTTATAGACTTCAATATCAGTTTATACATGTTTTACTAAGTCTATAAAAACATTTCACAAAGTTTCAAAAGTTGGTTTATGTCAAAACATCAAAATTCAAGTATCTCATATTTTCATGTTTTGGACTATTTTGTAAAATGATGATATTTTTCATTTGGGAAGTCCTTTTTCAAAACCAGTCGTTGTAGCATGTTTATTATCATGTCTACAATCATTTCCCAAAGTTTTACATTTTTTGGAATTTATTTGATATTTTTAAACAGTGTTTTAAAATCAGCGTTGTTTCCTGAAATGTCAGTTTTCGGTCGACCGGTACGGTCGACCGGTCAATTGACCATTCGTCAGTATTTTTCCAGAGAGTCGTCGGTCGACCGGTCCGGTCGACCGAGAGCTCAAATCGGTCGACCGACAGAATTTCCGGTCGACCGACAATCTAGCCGTTGTCTTCTAACGGCTATTTTCCTGAGTTGTTTGCTGGGGCTGTTTTGTCATTTGGCTTGGGGGTTTTGGCTGAGCTTTGAGTGGGTATATATACCCCATTGCTGATGTCTTTTCAAGTTGATTAAGAGAGTTTTAAAAACAAGTTTAAGAAAGTTTTAATCAAGGGTTTATGTTTGGTTTAAGTGTGTTTATAAGCTTTTAAGCATTTGAGTGTTTTGGTTTTGTGAATCACTTCCACAAGAGCTTGAGGAGATCATCTATTGGTGTTTGAGCATCCAACTCTTCTCCTTCCACTCTTGATCTATTGAGAAGTTTTCTAAACTCAATCTAGCTTCATATTTTATATTGTTTGATTATCTTTTTATTAAGCTAGTGTTCATATTGAGTTTAGTTGATTTTATTATCTCTTTGTTCACACACAACCTATTGAGCTTATTGTATTTACATTCATAGTATAATTTTGGGTTGTGAGATTAGTGACTAAGAGTTGTGCTTAATTGAGTTCTCACCTTGTTTAGAGAACAATCAATTGATTTATCTTGTGCTTAATTGTGAGGATACACTTTGTAATACACTTGTACACCAAGAGAGAAGTGTGTGGCGAGAGTCGGGGATCGTCCCAAGAGGAGTGGGGTAGGTGACGAGAGGTTGTAATTCCTAACACTTGAGGGAGACACGTCTAGTTCCAACACTTAGTGGGTGTAGAGTGTGATTGCAAGAGTGTTGACTGTAAATTTTTCGGTTAGCTAGAAAACCGAGTGTGAGGTGTAAACGTTATTCGGGTGAACGTAGAAAACCCGGTTGTGATAGTGGAGATCTCCTCGAGGTGAGGAGCGGGGACGTAGGTCGTGGGGACCGAACCTCGTAAACATATCGTTTTGTTTGTGATTGCATTGGCGTTCTTATTCTTGTTTTCATATCTTATATCGCCTTTGTGTATTGCTCATCATATTACCCTATCACTTGTGTAGATTGTTTATTTTACCCTTGTGTTAGTTCATATATCCTTGCTCATATTTTTGTAATATCTCATTGATAGGATATATTCATTTGTTCATATTGCTTATCCTAGCTTACATATCTTATTGTATTTTATACTTGCTAGGATAACTTATTAATTAGTTTTAATTGGCATTTAATCGGATTAGATTAGCATAAGACCCTAATCACCCCCCCCCTCTAGGGTCTAACAATTGGTATCAGAGCTTGGTGCTCTTTGATTTAAGGTCTAACAGGACTCAGCAGCGAGGTTAGGAGATAATCTTGAGTTAGTGATGAGGCTTAGGGTGGGTATGAACGAAGTGGGTTCCCTCATCCTCGCATACGACTGATCCTTGTTTAAGATAAGCGAGCTGCAAAGTAGGGATGTTAGAGGATAGGAGTTGGGTTCTCCGATGATTCCTTCAATGGTCAAGTCAGTATAGAGCATGAGTGGGGAATCAATAAACAAAATAAGTTCATAATATGTAGATGATAAAATTAGTTGGCCAGGGAATGGCGTACCTAGTGGGTGATGAGCCCGTATATATACCCGACTAAGAGGTGTAGAAGCATAACTCTGTTTGAGTCTTGGCAGACAACTAAATTGGCTGGTAGCATGACAGATGTTGACTGCCTATGCGATGAGTCACCAATGATCTGATGTGATGGCAACTAAAGAGGTATAAGGGACGATGAGTCATGGAGACTGGTGTCATGAGCAATGATGATAATGGATAGTTGTTGGCAATGAGTTCGATGACAAACCTCCTTTCGATTCGGTTTTACAAGTGGGACGACAAGTATTGCTTTTTTGTTAGCCTCGCAAGTTGTCAACAAAGCTCTGAGTAAATGAGGGCGGTCGACTCGACTGATGAGTTCCGATGAGAGCTTGTCTCGACTCGGGTTGAGTGCCAAGGTCACCCGAGTTGCCCTTGGCTGAGGTGATCTGCTATGATTGATTAATGCTGATATGGGACACGTGTCGGCTTCAAGAGGAAGATTAACACTTAGGTTAATTATTGTCATAACAGTTATGATTAGAAAGAAATAGTAATAGCTCAAGAAAGTTCCCCTCGTTAATTGATGTGTTGGATTCATTATTCCCTCGAAAAGCCAATCCTTGATGTAAAAGAAATCAAATACAATCAACTGTTGCAGTCAATTGAATTCGATAATCTTTCTTTGCTTGATCAGATTGCTTAGAAATTGCAACTTCAATGTGTTGCTTTTGATCAATTAAAACTTGAAATTTCTCTATTTGTCTTTCCAATTTGTGAATCCATTCACAACAAAAGCATCTCCACCTCCTTGCTCCTTTCACATGAGATAACAACATAAACATAATGCTATATCTTTTAATACACAGTACTCTAATCAATTACCATACTTGTTGAACCAGTTAGGATTGAATCGTTGTAATTTTCCCCCTAAATTTCTTTGAATAAATTATGCTCTCGTGGCTAACACAGATCTTTGAGTATATAGGCTCTTCAAAATTATTCACGTTTGTTAGATTTACAATCCAGCATTTTCGGTCATAATCCAGGATCTGCTGGTAAGTTTTTCAAGTCAACTTCCAAAAATCTTTTCTTCACAGAAGAACAAGGTTGAGCAAAATCTAATTGATCGGCCTTTGGTTTTCATTTAAGAAATGCTTTCATATCTAACAACAAGAGAAATGCTAGTGAATATCACTGAATTATTGAAAAGAACTTGGATAAATTATAAGGTTTACAAATTTAAAGGATTGGTGCAACTTTCATCATCTAAAAAATGATTATTTGTCTTTCATAATTCTTAAATACTACATCAAAATCAGGTCCCATCTCAACTCACTGGGCAACACCAAACTACAAAAATTGCAATTCATATTATACACATGATTCTTATTAAAAAAAATAAATCTCAAATCCATGGCAAACTTTAAGAGTTTTTATAACTCCTAATTTATAACTAATAAACTCTATGAAAAACCAAATCAAAGCATAATTTGTTTCAATCTTATATATGAACTATATAATCTCAGAAGGAAAGGAAATTAACTTGTAATTAAATAAATCAAAGAGATCATACCCAATTCCTGAATCAAAAATGAAAGTAGCGAAGATGCGGAGGAGGTGAGCACGAGGTGGAGGTACTGTGAGAGGCGGTCATTGGAGGCACTACAAACACTGAGAGAGGCAGAGGCGAGTTATTAGGGTTTTCTGAGAGACAATTGGGTTTTGAGTGGAGATTGGTCTTTCTTACGTAGACAAGGCAAGAGGTTCTCCTTGATATGATGGTTCAAGTGGAGGCACCGATGAATACCTTGTCTTATAAAAATTAGGAATTTGGTGGTGGGGGCAAGTGCCCCCATAGCACTGTGTTTAGATCCGTTTGTGGTTCCGATCCACGGATGTGCCAAAAAGGAGAACAATATCGATATTTCCACAGCCTTTCTCATCAGGCTTAGATTACCCCCACAGGATGAGAAGTTTTGTGATAGGATTTCTACTCGCTCAGCGGCCATAGTCTAATTTTTGGAATCGTGAGAAGCCTTCACCAAAATCACAGTTTACGAATTTAATCCCGTGTATGGTACGCTGTATATCAGCTTCTAGATCCGTACGCAGTACCCCCGCAGCTACTAGGAGGCCCAAGAAAATTTGGCGGTAAAAGCAACTCGTTTCCACGTGGCAGCCTACCAATGGATGATCTGTGTATTTATGTCGGCCATGGGATGCATGCATCTCCCATCACACGGAATTCTTTTTCCCGCGCTTATCACCGGATTTCTCCAATAAAGATAAGCTATTAATAACAGTAAATATTAAAATAAGTAAAAAAAGAAACCCTTAAAAAAGTAAAAAATAAAAAGAGAAAAAAAAAGGAGGGAAGAGCAAATCGAGGGGGTTTAGAAAATCAAAATTAATAAAAGAATCGTAAAAAGCGGGGGAAAATCCGTCCTCAATTTTCTCAAACCCTAGATCCTATACTCCGATCGGAGCTCCGGCATCAAATCCGCCGCCAGATCTCTCTATTTCAGCGATTTGACAGGTGAAATTTCGCAGATCTCGGGTTTGATTTCGGGATCCGCTAGGGTTTTGATGAGTCCTGGAACTGTAGCGATGGAGGGCGCGAAGCCCTCGAGTTCGCAGTCAGATGGTGGTGAATCCATGGCATTAAGATTTGTTGATCTTTGCAAGGTTTTCTTTGATCCTGGACTTTCTCGAATTTTCTCTTTTTTTAATTTTTATTTGATTTTCAAGATTTGATCTTGTAAGGGACTGGATCTTGATGTGAGCTTGACGAGTCAAGGGATGTCATTGTTTAAAGCAATCAGACCGGTTCTTTTGGCCAATTTGTCGTCAATTGGAAGCGGATCTGTGAGTTTAGACTGTTCTTTTTTTGTTTTCAAAATCTTTTGTGGTTTTTAATTCGTTAAAGGTCTGATATATTTTTCCCTTAAATAGCCAGAGGAGGTGGAAAGAATCTGGTTGGCGTTTATTCTCTACTGTGTGACAAAACTTGGAAAGTCGAATCACGGAGGAGAAGGTCAGAATCGGATCAAGCTGTTTCAGATTTTGAAGGCAGCCAAGCTCAAGTAAGGCTTCACTGGGGTTTCGTTTTCGAGAAAAAAGATATTTCTTTTTGAAAGATTTTGATTATTCTGATGTTTTGATGCGCAGCACTGTTGATTTCTTCAGAGAGGCGTCACAGTTTTCGCTCAAGGCTGGCCCTATTCTCAGTAACCTTTATAGTCCTGATTGGGATAGGAGACTCGAGGTGATCTTCCTAATTCGCTATACTTTCTATCTCAGTCAGTGTATTGTTGTTATGATATTAATTGAGTTTCGGTGCTCTCTACTTTGATGATTAGTTGGCAGAGTTGCAGGCAGTCGTAATCCAATTAAATAATCTATGCAGGTGAAAAATCTTCTCACCAAGTTCCTTTGCTATTTCTCATAGATGTGTTTAATCTACTTTCTTTTAGTGGGTACAACTCAGTCTTGCATGTGAGTTGTAAAACTAATTGCTGACAGAGTTGTAGTTTTCCTTAAAATTATGGTGAAATATCTCATGGAGTAGTTTATAGTAAAAATAAATTTAGGTGGCTAGAAGGTGCAAAATAGAATCAGTGGTTTTAGCGCTAGATTCGGATAGTGCCTACATTAGTAGGAAAGGCTTTTAAGTTCTGTATAGGATATAATTGCTGCTTCTAGAGAGAAATTAGTGAAAACAATGATTTTCTAATGAATTTGAAAGAACTAATTTTTATGATGGTGGTCTTTGTAAGACTATGACTTGTTTATTTTTATGCTTTTCTCTTTTTCTTTATTAAGTATTTGGCATAAGATGAAGTCTGTAGCTGGGAGCCTGGGATAGTTAGTTTCCTCTTTTGTGAAGTTGCCCGTACCCATATATGTTCTATATTGCCGATGCTAGTTATAAGTTCTTTTCCTTCTTATGGTTTACATAAAACACAAATCATTATATCGTAACTTTTGATCATCGTATGGGTTACCAGGTTCTATAAGCGAGCATATCTGCAGTTCTTTTTGGTGAATGACACAGTCAGTGATAAAAGCTCTGCAGCTTCAGGCAGTACATGTTACATCTCAGACTACCATCAATTTGGTTGGTTGCTATTCTTGGCTTTGCGCATCCATGCATCTAGCCCCTTTAAGGATTTGGTCACCTGTACCAATGCATTGGTGTCTGTACTGGTTAGTTTTTCTCTCTTTTGCTGTTTATTTTATAATCATATTTTTATACAGCATATTCTGCTTGATGTCATATGATATAATTTAATGTTGTTGTTAACATTTGATTATTTGGCTGCTCATGTGACAGGCTATACTCATCCTTCATGTACCTAAGCGCTTCAGAAGTTTCTCCATCGACGATTCTTCTGTCTTTGGTAATTGGATGTTCATAGCTCTATTTGAAGTTTTAACTTGTGCAGCTAAGTACATCATAGTTTCTTAATGCTAATTCTAATGAGATCTTTCACAACGCTCAGTTAAAAAGTCTGGCAAAGGTGTCGATCTTCTTGCTTCTCTGTCTCATGTGTATAATACCTCAGAAGATGATTTGAGAAGAACTCTTGAAAATGCTAATAAATTGATAGAAGATATTTTGAAGAAGAAACCACAGCTTGCTTCAGAATGCAAAGCAGAAAATTTGTATAGCATAAACACAGGTCAGAGTTTTTATTTACTTTGTGTAAAAGTGTTCACTAGCTAGTTTCATTCAGTTTGTTAATGTTTTCATTTGACAGATGGTTTAACATATTTTGACGATCTGCTTGATGAAAAGTCACTGGAGAAAAATCTGCTTATTCTAGAAAAAGATTATGATGATGCAATTAATGCTAAAGGTGAGCTAGATGAGCGCATATCTGCTAATGAAGATGACAGCTCTGTCACCAGTCAAAGCTTACTTGGAGGTGGCAGTAACATAAGCGGTGCAAAGGTATGATAATGCAAAAAGTTTCAAGCTTTTCCTTGGCTATTAAGTACTATTTTCATCTCTTCGTTCAAAGTTACTTACGACTCCTTTTTTTCCCCTTTTCTTCCCAATTTCTTCCTTTTCTTATGTGAATCAGAGGTTTGATGCATTAGCTTCTCCGGCAAAAACTATAACAAGTCCATGTTTGGTTCATTCTGCTGCATCACCTGGAATTGTTTCTGTGCAAACCAAGATGGTTTCAGGTACACCTGTGAGTGCTGCCATGACAATGGCGAAATGGCTTCGGACTGTCATTTCACCACTTCCATCAAAACCTTCAGCAGAACTGGAGCACTTTTTTTCATTGTGCAATGGAGATGTAACCAGTCATGTTATCAGAAGGGCCAATGTAATATTGGAGGCTATTTTCCCAAGCAACTCTTTTGGAGAACGGTTACCAACCACAAACCTAATGGATAATACATGGGCAGAAGAGAGAAAATCTGAGGCTCTGAAGTTGTATTATCGGGTTCTGGAGACAATTTGCAAAGCAGAATCAAAGTTGCAGAATGGCAATAATCTTCCTTCTTTACTGTCCAATGAGAGGTTCCACCGCTGCATGCTTGCTTGTTCCGCTGAACTGGTTTTGGCTACTCATAACACAGTAATTATGATTTTTCCTGCTGTTTTGGAGAGAACTGGAATTACAGCTTTTGATTTGAGCAAGGTCATTGAGAATTTTGTGAGGCATGAAGAAACTCTTCCACGAGAGTTGAAGCGACATTTAAATAGTCTAGAAGAACGACTCTTAGAAAGCATGGCATGGGAAAAAGGTTCATCAATGTATAATTCATTGATCATTGCAAGACCATCTTTGTCTGCAGAAATAGATCGTCTGAAACTATTAGCGGAACCAATGCCATCCCTTGATGCAATTGGGACACTTCAAAACACTTCCACTCCAGGCTTGCTGCCTCTCCCTTTTCAGAAGCGAGAAGCTTCTCCAGGTACTTTTTCTCTTCATCTCAGACGTCCGTGATCCTACTCAATTTTAAGGTGATCTAAATTCTATACCTATAGCAGGTCTTTAATGGACATGACCTTTACAGGCGGATTATGATTTACACTTCGATTATTCATCTTCATGACTTTTCTTTGCTTTTGTTATTTGAATTGTGTGTTACAGATCCTGACAAGCTTGTTGGTTGCACTGCAGATGGAAACGGTGATCCACGTTCTCCTAAGAGACAGTGTACAGAACACGGGAATGTGCTGGCAGAACATAACTCCCCAGGTCCTGTGAAGGAACATCTCTTTGGCACTCCCAAATCGAAGTTGCATCTTCTTCAGTCTGCATTTGCAAGGTTAGGATTTGATTTTAATTATTTACTTTTTGTGGTACTGAACTTGGAAGTTTTTTATCTGCAGTATCAAAATTAAATTTGATTTCTTATTTGCAGCCCAGCACGGCCAAATCCTGCAGGAGGGGGAACATATGCGGATACAGAGATTAATGTTTTCTTTAGAAAGGTATACTCATCATATTCATATTCGTCCACTACTTGTAGTCACAAAAAAAAAAAAAACAGTCTTTACACGCTTCCTGCACCAACTTGTAAATTTCTGTCAATTGATCAATGTTTTTCAGATGTTCACTCGTTTATTGGATGTTATTCTGTAGATCTTAAAGTTGGTTGCTATCAGAATCAAGACTTTATGTGAAAGATTGAAGTGTAGTGAACAATTCCTGGAGAACGTCTATTGGCTTATCCAGCAAATTCTTAATCAGCGAACGACAATTCTTTTCAATCGCCACATTGATCAAGTCATCCTATGTAGCATTTATGGGGTTGCTAAAGTATGTCTTCACAACTCTTGGATGTTATTGCTTTTAGCGTTTGATCATGACCATCTTTTTCTAAAGTTATGTTGCTGATTGCAGGTATCACAAATAAGTCTGACATTTAAAGAGATTATTAACAACTACAGGAAGCAACCACAATCTAAACCTGAAGTATTTCGCAGTGTCTTTGTTAACTGCCGAAATGGGGTAAGTTGGGTTCACCTGATCTTTCTTAATTATATGTTTTAAGTTTTTAACCTCTTGACTAATTATGTGAGCACAGAAAATGGGGGAGGGACATGTGGATATCATTACTTTCTACAATGAAGTATTTGTTCCATCTGTGAAGCCATTGTTGGTGGAGGTGGGCCCTGATGGAATTGCTCAAAAGAACAGTAAACTCACCGAAGAGAAGAACAACAGTGATGGTACGTCAATCTGTTATTTACGAGCATAGTTTGTGTCTTGCATTGATCTTTTCTGTATAAATTTATATCAGGTTTTACTTTTTACTTGCAGGCCAAATTCCTGGGTCGCCTAGGTTACAACCTTTCCCAAGTCTACCGGATATGTCTCCAAAGAAAGTGTCGGCTTCTCATAACGTTTATGTTTCTCCTTTGCGGCAATCTAAGGTTTGTCTTCCTTCATCAAAACCCCTGAACGCTTGGGTGAATTGCACGAAACTGTCCAATATTCAAAAATTAGTGAATGCCCCCTAAACTTTTCACAAGCCTTCCGTAACTTTCGAGAAGTTCCACAAACTAAAATTTACCATACATATAAATTTACCTTTTCCTTTTTTTTCTTTTCAATTCATAGTCTGAACATAACGCAAACTAGGAACAAAATATAAGGGATCAGGAGGCTTGTTTGTGTGGTCTCTGGAATCCATAGGGTGTTGAGGATATTAGAGATACTTATGGAGCTCTAGTTAGCCCCCTAGTAAAAGGAAAAAACAAAAAATGAAATGGAATATGAGTAGGGGTGCATTCGGTTCAGATACGACTCGGATATGATACTTACCATTTATCCATATCCGCTTACTCATCACAAATACGGATACGGTTATGGATATACATCAGTAAGAAAATTTCATATCCATATCCCGCTAAAACTGTATATGGATACGGCTATACTCTAGGATATTTAAGCGGATATGCATGTGGATAAAAGACAGATATAAGAAAAGTAGATAATATTGAAAAAAAATATACTTCATGTGATACAAAACAGTTCATTATGATGTTTGTTATATCTAAAAAGTTGAGATTACACGTCTTAACCATCAAAATTAACCTCAAATCCATAATCTAAGGATTAAAACTATTGTAACAGTATGACCAATATGTATACGGGATACGAATCCGGATATTTCACTACAATACAATATCATATCCGTAACCATATCCTATCGGTTATAGATTTGAGTAACCATATCCGTGTCCTAATGTATAGGGTTACGGATATTTCGTCGGATACAGATACGGTTTAGCACTTCTAAATATGATACAGGATAATAATGCATCGTAGACTACCAAAACTGTCTGCGATGCATCCTAGATGACCAAAAACTTCTGGGATGCATCCCAGACATAGATATAGGAGCGCCTCCCAGGTGGCCAAAGCCTTCTGGTATGCATCCAAGATATATATATATACAGGAAGTCTCTCAAAAGCTTGCAGTTGTGATTACTCTTAGAATTCTATAGTATCTCCAGTATCCTTGAACTGTCCCATTGGAATTAGTCTGAACTTCATTAGATTAATTCTTCTTGGAGTACTTACATAACTGTCTTTTTAACATGGCAGACACCAGGACGAATCAAATTTTAGTCATACCATAGTTCGACCCTCGTCCTTGTGGATTAACAATATTAAAGGAAAAAAGACAGAAGATTTTGACATATCTTATAGTAAATATTCTTCAGCATGTTCTTAAATTCGTGCACAAAATCCTTACCACCCACATTGGGTCTTCCATGGAATGAAACTGGTAGAGTAGTTATCTGCTTATCTAGCTTGCATGCTACTGTTCTAAAGTTTTTCTTTTCAATGTTTCCTTTACAATTGAAGCTAAGGTTCTGTAATGGCAACATGCACCCTGGTGAGAACTCAGAATACGATTAGATTGCTGTATTTGAGTTGCACAGCCGAAACAAAAGGCCAAAGGAAGATAAACAAATGAGAACTATAGTACGGTAGATTTCCTGTCAAAATAGTCTTGAGTTCTGAACTTATTAATGATGGCTAATAGCCGTGTCGTGTGCTATCTGAGTACTTGGTACATTTGAACCTTAGCTTGTTCGTAATGTAGTCATGAGAACTTGTAGATGTTAAAAGCTGAAATGGCCATAACATGTGAGCAAGTACGTACACAGGTATGTATACTTATGGTAGTACATACATATGTATGTATACAACAGAAAATAGTGTTTTGGTTGTTTTCTCAATTGTTGGCCTTATTCTGATCCCTTGCATTAATATGATTTCTTTTTTTGTTTCGGCTGACAGAAGGACGCTTTGCTTTCACCAAGTTCCAAAAGTTACTATGCATGTGTGGGCGAGAGCACTCATGCATATCAGAGCCCATCGAAGGACCTCACTGCCATTAATAACCGCTTAAATTGGTAAGTTCGCTTCAGTTCCCTCTGAACCATCTCGTTTCACTAAAAAAATAATGAACTTGTACTGTTTCCTCTTCCGCTTTATCCCCAGTGGCAGGAAGATCAATGCCAGGCTCAACTTCGATGTAGTGAGTGATTCTGTTGTAGCTGGTAGTCTTGGCCAGCAGCATGGCGGTTCTGCATCCTCAGCTGCAGCTGGTTTGCCCCCAAAAAGTGAGCAACCTGACACATAAAGTTGCTGACAGATTGTTAGCATTACAATCCCTGTATGTAGCCTCCTCTGATACAGCATCATAGGTACTAATTTAATATGTACATTGGTTGAGAAAACTGGGAATTACTCTTGTTCAGCATGTCTATGTACAGAATAAACAGTTCTGCTGCCCCTGTGAATCTCCTGATTCAAAATGTATTAGGCTTTGGGATGTAAAACAGGTTCTAATTAGCTTAATAAAATGTATCCGCCTTTTTCTTTTCAGGTCTGGCAGTGAGAATGTTTTAGTTGATAGCTATGATATTTACTTGTAGTGGACCTGATGCTATCTCCAAACTGAATGAAAATCACTGCATGTAATTGAAGTAAGGTATCAAGAGATATTAGAGTTGAATGAGCTATTCCTTTCTGATGATTTTATTTCTGACGCGATTAATTAATATGCCATCTGTTGGTTGCACGTTCTTCCTTTCTAAATCTTCTCAAGTTTAAAACTAGGTGAAAATCATTTAAAAATAATTTCGTACAGCGTATGCTTTGGGGTTATGACAGATTTCCGTGAGGACAACCTTCTTTCTTTTATGTGAAAGACTATGCTAACAGGTTCCCTCCCTCTCTGTGAAAATAAATTAACTTTACTGAGCTTGCGTTTGGTTCTCAATTACCGTGGGGTTAAAAAGTTTTCATTGCGCGTTATATTCTGTTTTTGACCCACAGGGATGCTGGGATTTGTTTCATCTGAAAAATGCAGGCTATAAGGATTGAAAAAAGTATAAACGCAAACACGATTTTTGGTGTTTGTGTTTCTTGTCTTTGATCACATCCAAGGACAATTTCTTTGTTCTTTGATCAGTCAAGGACGATTTCTGTTGGGAAATTTATTTAAAATAGACCGATTTTGCTAAATATTTAGTAAAATCGACAATTTTGCTAAATATTTAGCAAAGCCGACATCTTTTTGGCCAGCAAGCCAAAAAGAGGTCGATTTTAAAAAACGTCCAGCTGAAAACATACGGGGCTACTAGTCCCGTATGTTTTTAAGGACACTAATCACTGATTAGTGCTCACAGAAAACATATGCGACTAGTAGTCCCGTATGATTTCTGAAAGCTCTTTGGTGTTCAACAAAACGTACGGGACTAGTAGTCCCGTACATAAAACAGAAACATTTTGCCTCCGCCTAGCAAACATACAGGACTACTAGTCCCGTATGTTTTCCGGGTAGAGGCAAAATGCCTCAGCTTTATGCACGGGACTACTAGTCCCGTACGTTATGCAGAGGCATTATACCTCAGCCCATCAAACATACGAGACTAGTAGTCCCGTATGTTTGCTGGGCTGAGGCAAAACATGCACAACACAAATCTAAAAATGTTATAAAATTAGAACATCACAGCACAAATCTAAAAAATACACATCATCACAACACAATAAATCATCACAACACATAATCTGACGAAATACACAACATCACATCCAAAATTCTACAAAAATACACATCATCACAAAATAAATCCAAATGTATCAAGTCTAACCATTCGATAGTCTAATCTAAACAAATCCAAATGCATTAATAAATCCATACGACAATATATAATCTACATGGAAAAACTAACAAAGGAAAAATCCACCCCTCCACGTTGTCTCGATCTTCGCACCCGCTAAGATCGTCGACGGCCTCCTTCGTCTTGAGCTTGTATATGCTCGCTCTCCGGTTGTGTGTGGGGCTGTGATGGACCAGCTTGTTGTGACGGACCATCTTCATCGTCGTGCGTGCAAGTTCTACCACGTCTACGTTGGCGTACATATGTAGTATCTTCAAGATCCACCTACTCACGACCATCATGCTGATCCTCATGAGTTTGTTGAAAAGCTGTACAAACTCTCGTCACTATCCGCTGTAATATCGATACGTGTACAAAATCTTCTATGGCGGTAGTTAACCTCATTAGCGATCCCCTCTACCTCGTCCAATGCGTCTATCTACAATTACATAAAAATATTTCTTCATATGAGAAACCAAAAGTTAACATAAAGATTAAAAAATCTATTATAATTGTCGCAATTTACTTACCCATTGCCTCTCATCTAACCCTCTTGGTACATATCGAGATTGTTGGTTGCGAATCTCAATTTCGTCAACTGGAGGCGCGGTTTGGTTGATTATCCAACGTCGGGTAATCCCCCAATACCATCTAATGTAATCGACTCCATCTCTTATTAAAGTATACGTTCAATCTATAAAACGTCCTTGCAACTAAGGCACTAATTGGCATAGCACGGGCACCCTTAAGTACACCATTAAAACTTTCAGAGCAATTAGTCATCATCATACAATAACGCACTCCACCATCTTTACATAATGCCCATCGATCTTCGTATTGCGGCTTTAAGTTTTGTTCAATCCAATTGTGTGCTTTAACTGATAGGGATTTAATTTTTCTCTCTACAATGCTCATATACAAGTGAGTCAGTGGCACACCCGACTTGCCACAATAAATTTTATAAATTGACCTCTCCATGTTTTCTCTTAAAATTACCTCTTATATGCCGCAAGCAATAACGGTGATGATGTGGTGCACTCCACCCCTCATGCAAGGCTCTTGGAATTCCTTTTATTTAGTCAGAAATAAATGTAATAACTCTTAGACTTTGAATAGTCAGAATGTATTTGTAAATACACTGAAAAAACCACTTCCAACTCGATGTATCCTCCACCTCCACAACTGCAAAAGCTACTGGAAATAGCCCACCGTTTGCATCTACACCGGTCGCAGCTAAGAGAATTCCTTTATATTTGCCATATAAATGTGTTCCATCGATGCTTAAGAGCGGATGACAAAAAGAGAACACTTTGGTAGCAGGCCCAAATGCCCAAAATACCCGGATGAACCTCTCCATTTCCGGCACGATCTCCTTAGACACTATCTCATATTTGGTACTTGGAATTTTCCTCTCAATTGCTGCAAGATAATGTGGAAGTTTTTAGTAAGATTCTTCCCAATCTTATAGATTTTAGTCAACGCATTCCTTCGTGCATCATAAGATTTAAACTTGGATATAGTTATGCCTTTCATAGCACGAACCGTTGTAATTATCTATCCTGGAGTAAGATCAAATTCCCGCCTAACTTCGGGCATAATTAGCTTCATGATATAAGCGGAAGTTGCTGTCTTATGATCATTAGCGACAGTCGGATTGCAACATGTATGAAGTCCGCAATAACTTGAGATCATAAATTGCTCATTAGATTTTTTTCCTAACACCTGCATTAAGCTTCCATGGACATTTTAAATTTCTATCGTATTCAACGCTTGTATAAGTGGCTTGACATTTCTCATTGAAGTAGCACTTTACATGGTAGCTAGTTGTATTGGATTTCACCGGCTTAAATTTGACCCGGTTCCTAATTGCCCATTCATGTATAATAAAAATTAAGCTTTCCTTATTCTCGAATAGATCTCCGTTTTTGAAAGTGATATCCTCAGGTCGATCGAAATTAGGACCAGGTTCAACTAACTCAGCTTGTGATCCACTCGTCATTTTTAAACTCTTCGGGCAAAGGTTCTTCAGACTCTACATAATCGTTGTTTACGCAATATTCATTCATCCAACTTGCGTCATCATCGTTCTCTCCAATTGCGAACTGCATACTATCAAGACGTTTCTCTTCGGTCTCAACATCTTCACTATCATCAACAACATCTACATATTCGTCCTCTTCTATTATAGAACCACCAATCGGTAAATCAGCTGAAACATGACCCGATGCGTTGTGAAACATGTCACTTGACATTGCACCTGAGTCATTTTTTAAGTGCAATACACTTTGAGATAATGAGATTTGACTTTCAAGCATGCGAGAGAACTCTCCGTGAGTATATGAAACTTCGACAACCCCAGACTTTGGAATATTTTTAATAAACAACTCAATTGTGATTTGTTTATCCACAAGTTGTGTCATGTCATTCAATTCTTCATCAGTAGTGATCTCTACAGCAATTGTTCTTTTTTTATTTATTGGATATTACAGAAGACCTTAATGACATTTTTAGCATGATTAATTCTGGCAACTCTGTATATTTGCTTCATCATTCCATCGACATTAGAATTTCTAGACAACATGAATATTTTTCTAGAGCCTCCGTATTATATAGACAAATTATTCATTCCGACACTCAATTTTCCATTGAATAAGCAAATAATCGGAATTCTATTCGCCATGTTAACTGAAGAATTAAAATTTGACGTATACAAATTAGATATTTTACAAATTGATGTTCATGATTAATTATTTCCTCTAGATATACAATATTAACTAAAAAAATAGAGAAATTTATGAAAAAAAAATATGAAATTGTTACCTTGGTGAAATTTCGGATCTCGTCGGTGTCGGAGAGTATAGACGGCGTCGGCATCAGAGAGTATAGACGGCGTCGGCGTCAGAGATAATAGACGATGTTGGATTTGAGGGAGGAGGGGGTGAGTTGGATTTGTGAGAGAGAGAACGAGTTTGGGAGAGGTGGAGATCGGGTTTAGAAGGGATGGACATCGTGTTTGGGTGTGGCAATCAGGTTTAGGAGAGAGTTCAATGAGTTTGGGAGGGAGTGAGATGGGTTTGGGAGAGAGAAGATCAAGAGATTGAGAGTGAGATCAGGGGAGAGAACTCTTAGAGAGATGAGTTTGGTAGGAATAGTGGTTGTGCCCAAATTTAGGGCACAGTTGTTTAAATATGTCGACTTTTCTACGGGACTAGTAGTCCCGTAGATCTGGGCCAACAAAGCTGCGGAGTTTTTGTTTTATGTACGGGACTACTAGTCCCATACGTTTTGTTGATCATCAAAGAGCTCTCAGAAATCATACGGAACTACTAGTCCCGTATGTTTTCTGTGAGCACCAATCTGTGATTAGTGCCCTTGAAAACATACGAGACTAGTAGTCCCGTATGTTTTCAACTGGGCGTTTTTTAAAATCGACCTCTTTTTGGCCCGTTGGATAAAAATAGATCGATTTTGTTAAATATTTAGTAAAATGGTCAATTTTGCTAAATATTTATTAGCAAAATAGGTCTATTTATTTTTTTTCCCTTTGTGTTGTGCATTAATCAAACGACACACCGCAAATAAATCTTTATTTGGTATTTAATACGGTTGACAATCGCACTTGGTTCAATGAGAAGGGAGTGTGTATAGTCGTTCATTGATGGGTGGCGCCTTTGTGATTGGGCTGACGCCGGCTAATAATAGTCGCATGGACACCGGGGC